ATACTTGATGGTCATCTGAATTAAATTCACCCATTCCTGTCAATTTTAGTTTTCTGATTCCTTAGATGTTGATGCTCAGTCTTGTCATTTCTTGTTTGACTACGTCTAGCTTACCTTGATTCATAAATCTTTCATTCCAGGTTCCTATGGAGTATAGACCTTTATAGCAGTGGAGTCTCCTTTCACCACCAGATACATCCGCAACTGAGTTTCCTTTTGGCTTTGACCCAGTTGCTTTATTCTTTCTGGCATAACTAGTAAAAGCCCTTTGCTCTTCCCCAGTAGCACTTTGGACACTTTCTGACCTGAGGGGCTCATCTTCTGGCATCATATCTTTTTTGCCTTTTGGTAGTGTCCATGGGGTTTTCATGCAATGGTTACTGGAGTGGGTTGCCATTTCCTTCTCCAATGGATAATGTTTTATCAGAGCTCTCTGCTATGATCTGTCCATCTTGGGTGTCCCTTTACAACATAGCTCATAGCTACAGTGAGCCACACAAGTCACTTCTCAATGACAAGGCACTGATCAAATGAAGAGGAAAGAGCCTTAGAACACCATGAAAAGACAAGAAAAAAGAAACAGCCAAGAATAGAAGAAAGGCACCTGGATAATGATTTCAGGCTCCAGGATGGCCAGGGAAGTCTTTCCAGGCCCCCGCAAAGAGGATAGTTTTAACCTGGTGCCAAAAATGAGGCAACTGTCCCACCAAGAATCTTTCCATCTTGAAGGTGGTCAAGGCCCCATGCTGCAGGGTTTCATCTTCAACATGCTGTGTTGTTTTAAGAGAGTAACAGTAGTTGATCCTCCCTTCTTCCTATAGTTCCAAAGCTGTGATCTTTTCCCCAGTGTTGCTAAAGGACTACATGAAAGTATGACCATGGACGTCCACGATTAGGCTTGGCCTCTATAGTGTCTGCTTTACTCCATTGAATGTGCTTCTTGCTAAGATAGAGGCCCTGTGGGTGAGTGTTTCCCATGTCCATCAGATACTCAGCCATCTCATTCAGAAATGTTTTTTAACCTCTAAAGCCTTGCACAGCTTCACATGGCAAGAGCACCTTTCCCTGCTGGGGTTTAATTGGACATTGCACTAGACCTCTAGGACCTTCCTTCAAGTGAGAACGCCAAGGGAAGCCAAGAAAGTGGCAACAAGGGCATGACTTTCTCTGTAGTTGCCTCCAGTCTATGGAACAACCTCCATTTTGTGGCTGCTTAAAGAACCTCTTTGGATTCCCAGGTGCTTGAGTGTGATTACCAGTCCCATTGATTTGACAGAGTCATTCTTTTCTATTATTTGTTTTATCTATTTTTGATTTTTCAAATTATTTTAATGATTTTATGATATTATTGCATATTTTGTCTGTTCTGTGGATTGTTGTAGCTACTCAGAGAGCTTTGGCTTTGAGATGATATTCACATAAAATTGTAATAGCAATAACAATAGCAATAATGCTTGCCTTTTTGCATCAAGAAGTCAAACGCAGCATACTTCATGCTCCTCCTCTTCATTTTATCCATACAACAATCCTATGTAATAGGGTGATAATATGTGACTTGCCCCAAGTCCACAGGCAAGTTCTGTTGCTGAGTGGAGACCAGAACCCAGGTGATTTAAGTCTGACCCCAGCAGCACAAGTCCTGCCACTTGCTCAGGCTGCATCCTTGATCCATACAATGTTGCCTTCCTCCGCTCTCC